AAAAGGGCCAAGTTTGAAGACCCCTGATATAATATTATGCTTTGTGTGATAATGCCTTTGTTACAAGTCCAAAACTCCTGATATTAGTTGTTTACAAATTAAATGGAAGTAAAAGTTATTTTTGACTAAATTATCCATGTAAAGTGTGTGAGCAACTTCTAAGAGTTGGTATGAAATAACTCTATGTACTTTATAGTGAAGCTAAAATGTTTTGAGAAGACTTAGAGAAACTGAGTTAAAAATATAGTTAACCTTTTTCTTCAACTGGAATGTTTGGTTGCAGGTGCTACTGGTGATCATGTTTATACCAATTGCTATAAAGCTGAAAGAGAGGACTTTGCAGCTGAAGATGCCACTGTACTGGACACTTGGGTTTTTGACCAGGTTAAGGTGAATAAAAATCTTTGTTTTGCATCCCTATTATGTGACTGAGAGATTATAGTTGACAAATTTGTGCTGTGTCCTATATTCCCTGTGTGTATGTGTTTTTTTTTAACAGTGTGGTGTATTTTAAATAAAATGGGTTTTTAGGTAGTCTTCAGCTATTTAGGACATTTTTATGTTGGATTTTCCTGTCATTTGCTCCAAGGTTTGTAACATAGTGTGACCATATTTCCATCTGAAGAAGGAATTAGATAGAGGTTTCTGTGTGAAGAATGCAAACAGATCTGATGTCTTTAGATTATGAATATTTTTACCTTCTTCTTCCTAAATTCTCCTTCAGTATTTTTACTTGGGATTTCTTTTCATTATAAAAGTCAGTGGGAAAAGAATATGAGAAAAATGGTGCAGATGAGAATAAATGTTAGATACTCGCATCTGTCTAAAAGGTGTTTCAAAGGTTTGTAAGTTGTTTAGGCTTAAGTTATCCTATTGAACATATTACGTGTAGAAATGAATAAAGACCACATTCTACAGAGGAATTTATCTAAATGTCTTCTTTCCAGGTTCTTCTGTGTGATAATTGCTGATACAATAACAAGTTCTAACTTTCTTGTTAGAACAATTTCTGGTGCTCAGTAATTTACTTGGTTTTCTGATCTAGGATTTCTTCAACCTGGCTAAAAACAATGAAACATTGTTTTCTAAACTGCATGAACAAAAAATCATTTTCTTCCTGCACTTATTAGGATTAGATACAAATGGACATGCTCATCGGCCTCATTCAAGGTACAAATGTATTATTTATATTTTTGAAATATAAGTACAACCAAAACTGAACATATCTTTGATTTATAACACCAGTTATTCAATGGATTCAAGAACTGATATTATTTTCAACTTATGATCAAATTGTTTATAGATACAGGTTACAGTATATATAAATGATTATGAATTATGCTGATCCTTTATTGAAAGTGCTGTGTAAAATATGTATAAACATGTATGAGAAGTATTTATATGGTCTCTTTGATGTTCGGCTTTCTTTTTTCTTGCCCTCTTATCGTTCATTCTTTTTCCTGTTCTGTTAATAAAGGCATTGTTGCAGAACATATTTGATATAAGTGAGAGAATTAACAATGTGCCTAAATCCTCCACTAAAATTAATAGGATTAAAAGTACATAATTATATTTGAACAATTTCTTTTGTATGTTCTAATTTTCAGTTTTATCTCAACTATGTTAATTTCTTACAATAATTATATGTATACCAAGTGAGAGATAAATTTATGTCTCTGGCAAAAATGGGTTAACTCATATACTGTATGTAAAAGTTGTAGTTTAGACAGTTTGTTAACACCTTTTACCATAAGCTTTCCAAAGTTTGTGGGAAAGCTTTAAGCTTCTTAATAATTCTCACATTAAGAAACTTGATGTATTAGACAAGTGAGGGATTGCAAACATCTTATGACAGAGCATGAAAAAGAATGGGGCAAAAATTGCTATTGAGGAAAAGACCAGTTTGATAAGCATGGCACCCTCTGCCTTAATAATAAATGTTACTTATTTGTTTGGCTGATGTAAGGACTGGGGCATTCTATGTTTATAATAATCCATTAATGCCTTGTACAAAAATTAAACAATAATATCATAGTAACTCTTCAAAGACAGAACAAAGTGAAGGAAAAGAAAAATGTTTAAACTGGACTATATAGGCAAATAGAATGTTTTCCTGGAGAAATCATTCCTTAATCATCAAATTCTGCCGTGGCAATTCCCATGAAGTGGAATCAACGTGTTTGAATTGGAAGGCCATGTAATTTATTTAATAATAAATCAAGGAAACAAGCTATGGCATGTTAGCTTGATGTTCTCTTTAAAAATTCTTAGTTTCTTTTGAAAATTGGAAGTCTCTTCTAAGGGTAATACAGGTTAACATCTGTATTCTGAATGTACTCATGAAAAAAGGGCAGCTTTAGACTTTTGTCTAAAGAAAGTATTGCGTTTTGATTCTTTTGATCATTTATTATACAGTATCATATTTAAAAATTAAATGATTGCTGTGCTTTAAATTCAGTTCTGTAATTGGATGTGTGAAGAAATGAATATTGTAAAAAATAAGCTAAATCGAGGATATTTTAATACTTTTATTGCTATGGTTCTGTTTTTAAATCTTATGCAAATGTCTTTCTAGATTCATAATTATAGTATTTTGCTTTTCTGTAGGGAATATAAGAACAATATCAGGAAAGTTGATGAAGGTATACAAGAAATTGTTTCATTGGTTGAGAACTTCTATGAAAATGATGGCAACACAGCATTTATCTTAACTTCTGACCATGGAATGACAGATTGGGGTGAGATTTTGTTTCAGAACACTATAAAAGTTCAGCTCAGAAAAATTTTGTCCATTGTGGTATTCCATATTTTCCTTTCTTTATTCATAACACAAGGCAGTATTTTCTTTACATAAAGTTAATTATATTTTGGAATTTAAAAAAAAAATAGAAATGTACTATACATAGTACTGTGTTATTTAGAATATGTATAAACAGAATAAATATTACAGATGCAGAGGAATACAGGTAATCCTTGACTTATGACCACAACTGAGCTCAAAATTTCCATTGCTAAGCAAGACTGTTGTTAAGTGAGTTTTGTCCCATTTTATGACCTTTCTAGCCATGGTTGTTAAGTAAATTACTGCAGTTGTTAAGCTAGTAACTTGGTTGTTAAGTGAATCTGGTGTCCCCATTGACTTTGTTTGTCAGAAGGTCGCAAAAGGTGTTTGCATGACCCTGGGACACTGCAACTGTCATTAATAAATACCAATTGCCAAGTGTCCAAAATTTGATCATGTGATCATGGAGATGCTGCAAAGGTCGTAAATGTGAAAAATAGTCAGAAGTCACTTTTATCAGCACTGTTAACTTTGAACAGTCACTAATGGATGATTATAAGTCGAGGACCACTTGTGGAAATATAAGCAAGCATGGCTATATTCTCAGCCATATCAGTCTTATGTTAGAAGCAGCCTAACATGAGAAATACATCTGAAGCCATCCTTTCACAACTGTTCCATCCATTGTTAAACTTGGAAAAAATTATTAAAGGAGTCTTTAGGGTATCTCAGGGTTTACAATGGACAAAGCATATATGTTATCTGCAGATTTGGTTGTTGGTGTATATTCATATCTCTTAGCCTAATTTCAAGCAATTAGTTCAGATAGCCAGCAAAAGTAATCAGCTGATCAGTTGGTATTCTGGAGCTTGTTGTGGGAAGTGAAAGAGAGAGGAACAAAAAGCTATCATAAGGAGAGAAAAAAAGAATTACCGTATTTTCCGGCATATAAGAAGACTTTCTAAACCATGCAAATCTTCTCTGAAGTAGGGGGTCGTCTTATACACCGAGTCGTCTTATATGCCAGAAAATACTGTATTTTCCGGCGTATAAGACAACTTTCTAACCATGCAAATCTTCTCCAAAGTTGGGGGTTGTCTTATACGCCGAGTCGTCTTATACGCCGGAAAATACGGTACCTGTCACTAACTTAGAGACATTTCAGCCCTTCAGAAGCCCAAGGACCATTATAGGTAAACTATGAGGCAAAAGGGGGAGTCGCATGAGGAAGTAGTTTAAAGAACATTGAAACTGCAGATTGCCTTCTGGATCAGGGCTTACAACCTTTTCACCCATTGTACCATTTTAAGGATGTGGCAATATCTGAGTACCACCAGTCGCCTAGCAAGGTGTCAAAAACTTGATGACAAAAAAAAAAAGGAAAAAAGTGATAAAGTACAGGTAGTTCTCGATTTACAACAGTTCACTTAATGACTGTTCGAAGTTACAATGGCACTGAGAAAAGTGCCCCCCAAGCCACAGCTGAGCAAGATACCTGCCTGCCCACCTGGCGACACTCTTCCTCCTGTCCAAGGTTTTCATTGTTGTGAGCATTTCTCTTGAGGATTGGCAGCAGGGGTGGGATGGGGGGGTGTTTGGTTTTTATTCTCCCCATCTGCTGGGTGGTTGCAGCAGGTTTTAGTCACTTCACATGACCCTGGGACACTGTAACCATCATAAATATGAATCGGTTGCCAAGCATCTGAATATAAATCACAAGACCCTGGAGATGCTGCAACATTCCAGCTGATTGGCGCTTCTTCTGGGCTCAGCAGAAGTGCCAGGATCAGCGCCGAGCTCCACCTGGAGCCTGGCACCGATCCTGGCTCTTCCACTGAGCCCTGATAGCCCTGCAGCTCCAGCCATCTCTCACTCAGGCTTGTGCGGTGCTTCCACTGGTTCAGCTCATTTCCTTTTCCCGCTACCACTTGCCAGGTGCCAATGTACCACAGGTGGTACCCGTACCACTGGTTGAAAAGCCCTGTTCTAGATGAGCAGACGAGAGAAATGGTATTTAAAAGCCAGATTTTTAAATAATAATAATAATAAAATGACTTTGACTTGGTTCTCTGTGTGTGTTTAGGGACTCATGGGGCAAGTCATCCATCAGAAACATTAACACCCCTAGTTGCTTGGGGAGCAGGAATCAAATATCCTCAGACAGTTACCTCACAGCAGTATGAAGATACATTTTTAAAAGGTAAATTCAACTATTTGTGTAACACCTGTAATTACCATTATTATGCATATATTACAAAAGACAGTTTTTAGTGTTATTAGCTGCTGCTAGTGCTGTTACGTTGATAAAATCCTCATTAAATGAATGAGGAATCAAAATTTACTAGAAGCCATTAAGTTGTTTCATGGCTTCTGAATGATATGAATTCTCTCACTGCTAAAAATATTTGAGCCACTGTTTCTCATAGTCATAATATAAATCCTCCTTTGCAGAAAATAAATTTTACTTGAAACTTTTGATTTGTGGACCTGATTTTATGAGTTGGGTATAGATTTTAAACTAGGCTAGTTTGGTCCTTTGTCATCTTTAATCAAACCTAATTAAATAGTTTGATGCATTTAAATTAATTCTAAATTACCAGATCTTCAGATAGCTTTAATTTTTCTTCATGATGTCGAATATCCTCAGGTATCTTGTTTCCCACATTTAATCTTCACTTTTCTCATATTGTTTAACATGCCCTCTGTGAGTATGAATCATTCTTATTTCCAAGGCCAATTTTCCTAGATTGGAAATGTGAGGGTTAATTAAGCTTAAAATTAACTACATAGTGTAATAATCCAAGATAAAAATAGTCTATCCTCCAGTGCTTAAAAGCGCTCATTAAATGAAATGCTAAGATGGGCCTAACATTAACCAAGTGTAAGAAATTACTCATGGATGCTGTACTCATTAACAGAACTGATCATATTATGTCCAACCAAGTATTCAGGTCATCTTTGTAATGCTGATAATGTTTTTGGAACCAATAAAATAATAATAATGAATATAGCAATGAACCACAGAACTATGGCCACATTGGTTAAAGAAAAATGCATGAAACTCTCTGCCTTAACTGTTTCTGGAATTATTTCCCAGTATATTTTATTTTATTTAATAAATTTATGTGGCTGTCCATTTCACTTGAAGTAGATTACTTATATGTAAAACTAATCAGTGATTTATCGAGCTATAGCTGTCCATCCAAAAGAGTCTTGGATATTCCGTTCTATAGTTTTGCTTTTGTGATTCTTTAGATTTTGATTAAAGAGTTTGGGGTGGCTTTGAGTAAATTTCTTAATACTATATTCTGCAGCTCAAGCAAAAATATATTTGGGTATGAAGAAAAAGGTTATCAGAAGAATAAGCTTATAACTGCTAAGTATCAAAAGAGTTGTTATTTTTCCCTCATAAATTATCATTCTTTTTTCCTCACTTATAGAATGGAAGCTGGAGATGTGGAGGCGCCAGGATGTGAATCAGGTATCGGATTGCTTCAAACTCACTGTTTTTTTTTCTTATTTTATTTTAAGATGGTACAATGAAACATAATTATGGTAATAAGTTACATTAACAGGGACAATCCTGTCTGCCTCCAGTTTTTTTGTCTGTCTGTCTGTTTATCTTGTTAGTTCATTCTCTGATTGCTGTTTTATTCATTGTTTATAGCCAAAATTTGAAATGGGTTTACCTGCTGATAGTATAAACATGGGTCATAGGTCAAGAACTGCACTATAGTGGGAATATTATATCTGTAATACCCTTCCTGGTTTCTAAAGCAACATTGCTTGCCCATCCATTGTTAACAATATGGAGACAATTTTGTTTGCAGACCATTTTTTCTCAGTGTTCTGTTGACACAGGTTGAATTCTTAAGAATGATAACAGGATATAAGTTCCTGTCCACTAAACATGGAAACATTTTTTTAATTATCTGAAATGATGCCATGTATATAAAAATATTTCATGAAAATACATCATAGAAGAGACTTCTGCTTTTAATTGTACTTTAGTATACATTCAAAGGGAGACTTTTTTTTTGCGTGTAGGCTGACATTGCACCACTGATGGCTTCTCTTATTGGAGTTCCTTTTCCCCTGAACTCAGTGGTAAGATAATATGCTATTTTTTTTCTCAGTGTAAAATGACTAGCATTGGAATTTGTCTATATGAAATATTTTAGAAGCAGGTGAGAGAGACCTTATTTTTTTAGATAGAGCAAACTGACTTTCTCTCCCAGCACTTTTGCTAACTGCAGTCAATTTTTACTTCTTTCCATTGAGGGATTGTTATCTATTTTTTGGGGGAAACTCTTTGGGATTATAGCTTTTGTTGCTCATAATAACCCTGCCAATTTTAAGTCTGATCCAGTCTTACTGTTTCATCTATGTTACCATATCTTTGGATCTTTTACTTATTAGTCAACTTGAATACTGTTCCTGGGATCAAGGAATTGAGAAGAAATATTCTGTGATGTAATGGGGAAAGTGTTGAACCAGGATTGGGAAAAACCAAGTTCAAGTCTTCTCTTGGCCATAGAAGCTCACTGAATGAATTTGGCCAATCATTATCTTTATAGCCTACTTCATGTGCTTGTTGTTTTAAGGCAGGGATCTTCAAACTTGGCCCTTTTATGACTTGTGGACTTCAACTCCCAGAATTCCTCAACCAGCGTGCCTGGCTGAGGAATTCTGGGAGTTGAAGTCCACAAGTCATAAAAGGGCCAAGTTTGAAGACCCCTGTTTTAAGGAAAAGAAAAGATTTTAGAGAAATTATAAATTTATACAGATAAATAACAAAATAATCCATACTTTTTTGAGAAATTATAAAAAGTTGGTTTATATTTCTTTTGGAGAAACCTTAGTCAGAGGCCATCTATCTTACAATGGGCTAGCTATACCCATTTATTTTTGGAAGTTCTCTAAAGGAGTCGGCCTCACATAGCATTCTGTGGAGAGTTTGTTTTACTTCAGTGTGCATGGAGAGTCCCTCTTCAAAGCTGGCATTTGCACTGCTGTTAGGAGAAAGTGTCTATTGATTCATTGTGAATAATATGGTTCTCTAATTCTGAAGATACTTACTTTAGGTACTGTAGCAGGCCCTAGTTTTTAGTAAAAATGCTTGCTTTTCTAGCCATGGATTATGCTGCTAAATATTAATTCTGTTTTTTTGCCCCCCAGGGTGTTTTACCTCTTGAATACTTGAATAATACTGTCCGTTTTAAGGCAGAGAGCATGTTTGCCAACGCTGTTCAGATTCTTGAACAATTTAAGGTACATAAGCTATTGCTCAAATGTATAAACTGCACATTCATATGAACATATCCAGTAGAAACATCAAATTGTCATAGTAGAAATAGAAACAACATAGCAAGTTATATACTTATAATTTAGTATGATAGTAGAATTATTGCTAAATAAAAAACAGTGGTATTATGGAAAAACTAGCTTAAATCCTTAAAACTTCTTTTTTTTTTTTTACTGGGACAGCCAATATTTTCTATTGTCTTAAAAAAAATCTAAATGTTTTGTGGAACTTGTTTATTAAAACATAGAATTTAATTCCTATGGATCGAACTTTCATAACTGGTGTGACTTGATGTCATTGAAAGCAGTGCATTCTAATCAAGGTGTACAATTGCTCCTATAATTCAGTTCTGATGTTATTAGGACTGGCATACCTCCTGTTCCAATCACTAGAAGATGATTTAGGAGTTGAGGTTTAAATTTCTGTTGTCACTATTTACTGCTTCCCGATACACAAAATGGACTTTACATCTTTAAGCTGCTTGACAGCAAGATACTTTCTCCAGTGTGAAAATCTAGTAATTTATATTATAATGGAAGCCTTGCCTAAAATCGGAAAATAAATCCTAGGTCAGTTTTGGAAATCATTCCCTAAAGAGGGTTGCCTTGCTCCCTCTTAATTGCTTTTTATCCACGATGCAAATACTTTAATTTTGAGAAGGGTTTTGAGGAATAAATTGTTCTTTGTGAACCTCTTTTACTACTGATAACTTTGATGTTTAAGATATATGTGACTAATTTATTATTTTTAAATTATTTTTACACATAAATGGTATTGTTATTTATCTACGATTACCGGCAGCAGTTACTTCCAATTCTTTAAGAGAGAAAGCATATCATTTTAAAAAAAAATTAAGCACTTTTAATTTCCAATTTCAGATGTTGATTTATGAGTCTGCAACTTTTATTACGTTGGCTTATTAGGGTAAATCAGGTAGTTTCCAGGAAGATAGGGAGAAATTATATAATTCTGGATGCATATATGTTTTATTCTTTTATTTTATTCTTTTAAGGTTTCCCGTTTTTAGCACCTGGAGTTATGAGACTTTTTCGGTTTAGGTCTAGAAAATTATCACTAGCTGATAAATTCCTAAAAGTGATGCTGAATCTGATGCTTACTTAAGATTAACAATCTTCTCTTACTGCTATTTCATTTAAGAGCAGATTATTTATGTATTTATTTACTAATTATTTCTTCAATATATAGTCCTAAGCCAAAATAATATACATATCATTGCAACCTTAAATCAGACAATATCTAGGGGAGAAAAATTGATTTATAATCAAACAATGAAAGAGATCTGCTGGGGAAGAACAAAATGAAGACCATACTGTTTGTTTTAGTCATTCAGTCTATACAAAACTACTTTGTTAACAGTGCTGGCTATTTTTTTCTTTTGTGTTCAGGTTAAGATGGCTCAGAAGAAGAAAACTACATTATCATTCTTGTTTTCGCCATTCAAGTAAGTACATGTTCCATTCTTAGAACATATCTTTTAAACGAGTCATAAAGAAGTTATTCATATAAATGGAACTTGGACAAGATTAATATAGTATTTGAGGGATCAAAAAAATAGAACACACAATTTAAAATCAGAGCCCTAGCTGAATTTCTTTCTAAACATAATTGAAAGGAAAAGTAAAGCTGTGATACAATTTAAATACTAGAAAGATTCTGCTTGATTGCTAATTAATTTGCCCAACTAGACCCTTCCCAATATTTAATGTTTAGACAAGAGCAGTGAGCTTCGGGATTTATAAACCAGGCTTAAAACAAAGTAATTACAAAACTATAAAAAAGTAAGTAAACATAGGATTTTTTTACTATTAATATATTACTCAGGATTTATATACTGCTCAAAATTACAGAGCTTTTACTATAGCTTAAATAACTCTGACAAAAAACATCTTATAAATAGGGATATTTGTAGCTTAGCAGTGTCTGACATGCCATGGGTGGTTGGTTGGTTGGTTGGTTATTAATTTATTTATTCATTTATAAAATTTATAGGCCACCCATTTTACCTCAAGGTAATTCTGGGCGGCTTACAGTCATTTAATGGTGATCAATATTTCACTGTGGTGTTTCAGAGACAATAGCTTGTTATTTGATAGAGATGAGAACTTTCCTAACTCTTTCTCTCTTTTAACAACACTAGTTCTCTGGGCTTTAGGATTGAGCAATAAATCTTAATTATGTCTTCTTCTTGATAGTTAGATAAAGAACCAAATCTTTAAATAGCCATTTATTATTTTTATTTGGAACAACCAATGGCTTAATTCATTTTTCTGCATCCTTTGCCTCATAACAAATTTAGAATATTTGTTCTAAAAAAAGATATATGCACTAGCTGAAGACATTGCAGATCACATTTTTCCTCCTTCTAGTCTTTAATTGAACACAAAATAAATTTAAGTACAAAATAGAGAAATATGAA